GTAAAATCGAAAAGTACCACTGCATTCATTCACTAATTAAATTCTCCAAAAAGTCATTTAAAAATAATGTTACAAAATGTATTATTGGGGTATTGATTATCACAACTTGAGTTTTACATACTTCCAATGTCGCCAGAAGACGCTTGGCTGAAGCCGTCTCATTGCCAGCTCTAGTGTTTTTATTAGATGACTGCGAAGCAGCAATTATAACACTAAAAACAGCCTCATCGCTTAATGGATTGTGGTTGAATCCGTCTTCATCCTTACTTGAGCCTTTCTCCTGAGGAAGAGTTAAGCCAATGCAGGTTTTCAGCATTAGTCTACAGGCCTCCTCTGCATCCTACATCAAAACCAAAGTTGTATATATAAAAATCACTGATGAGTACTACTTATATATTAACAATGTTAATAGCAGTTGACCTCGTCACAACTTGGTCTTGTTGTCAGGGCGACTTAGTAGAATGCATCTAGTCCGAAGTCGTCAGCTATAGTATTTGTCATGGTTCCCAGCATCAGACAGCGGACTTGGTACATTCCCAAACGTTTCGCCGGCATCGTAGTCGGCATCATTAGTGAGTTTTGCCATTCACCGCACCAAGCTAAGAACTCGTCAAGAGACAAATGAGGTCAATTCCTCGACAAACGTTCTGCCGAAAATGGTTACACTATTACTACTCTTACTGTCCTGGCCTACCTATCTACTCTTTACCCTCTTATCCCACTGCCGCCCTATCACAACTTCTCACTTGTTTGTATTCCACTCGTCAAAATGTGTGCCCTTTTGTGGCAAATCTAGTGTGGCCCCATCACACTTGCTATTTACACCGACCCCTCTCTTTCTATCGGCTTATCCGACTCTGGCCTCCAACCCGGATCCCTTCATTGTCTCGTAGATCTGTTCCTTATCTTTCTGGTTGACCGATTTCACTCGGTTCCAGTTCCTGTGTGCATTTCACTCCAGGCGCTATTTCTCAAGGCCATAGAAGCACGTACACTGTCGCTACACTGAGCAGAGCGCCTAAGCTCTGATTAACATGCTTGCAGATATCAGGCCTTTCTTCACGGGTCCTCTCCTTAATTAAAGCCATGTTATCGGAGCAAACTGTGGACGCCTATCTCTGGTCGCATGCAGCATCTCAAGTGGATTTTTAGTACCTCTTGGTCGAATTTCCGTGACAGTTTGCTTATCCGTCTGCCCCGCTCCCTGGTTTCCAGGCCCTCAAAGTTATACTGGTTATTAGAAATGGACATCACTCACTGACGTCTTCGCTTTATTGTCATAAGTCCCTTCCCCCTACTCTCTTCATCGCGATCCCTTTTCCTCCGGTTAGCGGTAGATCCTTGATCCAGACGTCTTCTTTTTGCTAGTCTTGCTCCATTCTTATTTTCCCCGAGTTTGCTTAGGCAGTTGGCAAAGTTATCGCTAACTCTACCTTCCTCTCATCTCCTGTTCATTAAATTTTACTCCCCAAGGATGTCAATGGCCTCCTTAATCTTGAGCTTCCTAGTGTTGCCACCGTATGGAGATCTTCTTTCTGTTGCCTTCCAATTGATCTCGTGTCCAGTCTGTGCGATATGTTCCGCTAGTTCTGATCTTTCGGTATCCATTTTCCTGCAGAACCTCTAATGTTCCTTGATTCGTGTGCTAATTTTTCTCCTTGTTTCGTTAATATATTTCTGATCGCAGGCGCCGCATGGTATACACTAAATTCTTGAACAATCCAATTTGTCTACCATTTTATGTTGCGTTGGTAGACTTGTGAAAAATGTTGATCTCTCCATCATGACCACTTGAATATTCCATTTACTCAATATTGACCGTAGTTTTTGAGTTAGTTCGCAGGAAGGCAGACATATCCACTTTTATGAATCCTTCATCGTCCTTACTGTTCTTTCATAGTCCGCGTTCTGCCATCGGCTTTTCACTGCCCCTATCTTTCTTTATATCACTTCGCTAGGGTAGCAATTGCCGAGAAATATCTCCGGTAATTTGTCCAGCTCTTCGTCCCAGAATTATGCATCCGTTAAGCGTAGGCTTAGGATGATCATGCTCTTCATTATTGTCTCTGACGAGTTGTATGGTGCTAAGAATGGCGATACTCACTGACGATGCCGGCGAAACGTTT